CCGCTGTGCCAAATGTGACTCGGGATAAGTTATACTCTTGCACCGGCTCGTTGGGATTGAAACGTCATAAAATTCTATGATACTGTGTGTCTGCTGGATGTAATATAATTTGGCGATACATTTTCTCGATGTCAGCTGTTATGGCCACCGGATAAGTCCTTCATCTTAGAATAATGTCCATTAATTCTTCTTGTAAACGGGGGCCCACATGCATCGCATTATTTAAACTTGTCCCAGTGGTTGTTTTACAGGACGCGTCGAAGACAACTCGTACTTTACTTGTGGTACTTGTTTCTTTGATGACGGCTTGTTGAGGGGGATGATATTTTCCTTTTCCCTCATCTATGGATGAAACTTTCGTCATTTGTCCCATATCCAAATATTCTTGTAGACATTTGGTGTATTCTTTCTTCAGCCTCTCATTTCTTGATGTGCCATGGCTTGAGGTCTGGAGGATCCTAGATCGTCCTTTTTTTATTAAAGGGTATTCTGACCTAATATCTTCCATCTTTGATTTCTCTTTATATTTTCGGAGAAGTGATCTTTTACTATTTGGTCTTCTTTCTTCAGAATGCGGTCGGATGTCACTTCTTAAAGTTCCCATAATTTTTTTAGTTGTTCATCTTCTTCGTATCTGGCGGTCATGCTGACTATTTTTATGTTAGATTCTTGACTAGGATTTCCCCCGGACACTATCCATCCAAATTCCGTGTTTTGGCCAAGAAATCCATTTGCTGTTTTGGGCACTCCGTCCAGTAGTATTTTCACCACTTCTTCAGCTCCTAGGAGCATGTCTATGGGTCCCATCTTGTTGAACGTTGGGTCAGCCAATACTTTGTTCTGCCATTGTTCCATGTCTATATCAAAACTTTTTTCAGGCAGTGCCCTTGTTAGTTTGGGTAGCACTAGGAGGTTTATTGTCAGCTTAAATGTACTCGGGAATCTTGGGCTACAAGGTAGTGTCACTTGTTGGCTTGATGTTTTTATGTCCCCATCTCCAACACCTGATAGGTCTGTGGATACCTTTTGCCTTGGAAGGGCTAATAATAATTCTTCCGTGATCAAGGATGCTTGAGAGCCTTGATCGATGAGTACTCGTGCATACTCTACACCTCCACTCACTGTTGTGGCTTTAATGAGTGCGGTTGCTAGTAGTACTATTGGATTCCCCACGTGGTTGCTTGCCTTGTTTTTGTGTTTGTCTACCTTTGATTGGGTTTTCTGTTCCGTCTTTTCAAAGTGCAAGAGCGTATGATGACTTCTCGTGCTTACTGTACATCTTCTTTCTGATGTGTATTTTGCGGCTGCATCATGCCATAGGCAATTAATGCACACATTTTTTTCTCTTATTGCCTGGCTCCGTGCTGTCACTGAAAGGCCCCTGAACTTTGAGAATTAATTATAGTAAAAACTGCACACGATCTGATGCCCATGAAATGGATGCTGCCTCTTGTTATGTGCTGCATTTGTCGCCGTCAATCTGGGACTGTTGGGTGTTGCCTCTAAGGATTGAAAACGGTTTCGCAAGAAGTTGATTTGATCTTCTAAACATTGAATTACCAACGGATCCTCGATAGACGACTCATATAACCTGTTTGTTTCAGCATCCCATTTTTTCGAGATCAAACAGCTTATCATTGGACCCCAAGAGTCTGTTTTTATTCCCATTAGCTCAATTATTGCAGCCATGCATTCACTCATGGTGTCGTGGAGTTCTTGTAGTTTTCTGTCTGATTCATGATGAATTGGCGGGAACTCCATCATTTTGTTAAGTAACTTTGTTAATATTAACCTCTTGTTATTGCATCTTTTTTTAAGCTGCTTCCATGCTGCTCCGTAAATAGCATTTGTTATGGGAAAATGTTTAATGGCACGCGCTCGCCTTTAAGGTGAGTTTTTAGATGCTGCATTTTTTCTACGTCAGCCAAGCGTCGGTTGTTATGGATTATTTGCGTAAATATGTCTTCGAAATTGGCCCATTCCTCGTAGTTACCTCCGACACATGTGGTAGTTTGATTGATGTACTTGTACTACTATTGTCGCTTTCTGTTTGTTTTAGCCTACGTATTTTTTGTCGTAGGTCACAAATGCGGTCTTCGCATTCCATTTCGATTAGTGTATAAGTGTTGTTCGTGAAATACGATGCCTGACGTAGTGTGTCGTCGGCTCGGATTTCAAAATGTGCTGATACTATTACTTGTCGTTGATTAATTAATTTTTCAGACAGAATTTCGTACCTATTGTTCTGATACGACTTTTCGATTTGTTTATAATATTCTGATATCCAATATTCATGAGATGATTCTTTGATTTTAATGATCTCGGCATGAGTTTGTTCCGCATTGGCCCAATGTTCGTTCAACGCCTCAGTTTAAAGTATTCAGTTGACTTTCTTGAGGTTGAATCTTTCTTCATGTTGCTGTAGAGTTGAAGGATGGCCTTCCCACCAGCTCGTTCATTTTTGGGTTTGTGTTCGTCATCTTAAGTTGTGACACTTCGTGATTATTTTCTGGATATGGAAATGCACCACTTCTGGATTGGACTGGTACAATTTTAGGTTTGAAGGAGCATGAAAAAATTCGTATCTTAATTGGGATCCCGAATCTTTGTAATAATGTCCCACTAGAGCAACGCAGCCTCACGCTCCAGTTAAGGCTTGGAAACTAGTGGGGTGGTTGAGTAAAACACAATAGTCTTGTTTCTTATATACAAATGGGATATTTTATTTTAAATAAAAATTTTACAAACATCTTAATGTTAGAAGGTTGTATTTTGTTATGTTATTGCTGACGCGGTGTGTTCGCTTAGATGACCGAAGTAGGTCAATTAAATAATTATTGTTTAATTTTAAGATTAAACAAATCCCAATGTTCAATTTTTTTCCCAAAGTTTCTAAAGCACGTAAATTTTTTGATACTGTATCTTAGACTGGGCCAAAAAAATCAACTATTTTTTTTTTTTGAAAAGTATATCGAAAATATGGTTTGGGGCGACAAAAAAAATTATTGTGAAAGTTCATCATCAAAACGAAATTCTTGTCAAATTTAACCTTGAATAACTTTTGATGGAGTGAATTTAGCCAAAAATGTTAGAAGACTTTTTTTGTAGAGCATTTGATTTCCCATAAGAATATTCATCGGTTTTTTTCTGGGTACTGATTTTTACTGAATTACAAAATTCCAAAGTCATTAGCAATTTGTTCCAAATTAAATAGTGATTTTAAGTGGTTTTAAATGAGTAAATGATTGTTCTGGAAACGGTTGCATTAAATGTCCCATGCTACACTATAGTTGTGAAAATTCAATTGATTTAATTATGTTGTGAATAAGAGATTTAAACAGATCATAGAATTCTAACCAATTTTTCTACGTTTCATCAAACTTGGGTAAATCAATTATTGGCAATTTAATTAGTATTATTGGTTGCCAAGACCGAATTTTCTTTAAATTCGAGCTTTTTAACTTTCAAAAGTGTTCTATTGTCTAATTGACTAATTTTTCTGCAGTTGCCAACGCACTAAAATATAAATTTTCAAATTCACCCGGGTCTATATTTGGTTCGGAAATCGCTTCAATTTCATTTTTGTATTGTTTCGTATTTACTTAGTAATGTTTCTGCCCTATGTAACCTCTTTTCTAATTCTAAAATTAACAATTCATCTAACTCTGATTTTTGTAAATCATTCAAATAATTGGTAAATCTAGTTAACAGACCTTTAATATGGGGTCTTTGCTTAACTAGCGATTTTAATTCCGATTCATGATCGCCTTAATGTGTGGCCATTTTTTTTAACTTATCAGTGCAAAAAATTAATACAAAAATCAAAGGGGATATTTAGCTTCCATCTGGATCAAGCTGGTCCCATTTTCGCTCAGCGAGAATCGGCCAGCAAAAACTGCATTTTAGAAATTAAGGGCGATGAAATCGTCAGGATGATGCAATGTTACTTTTCTTACCATGCAGATCTTTTGCAGGGAAGCTATAGAGGCGGGACTACATATTTACGCACCTTTTTACATCCAGCCACATCACAACATTGCGGCTCTATGTACAATGTTTATTTTTTATATTTACTAAGCTGAGTGCTCGTGGGTTCGAACCCCACAGCATGGTTGTTTATTTGTGTTTGTCCCATTGTGTATCTAGATCCTTCAGAGGGGATTTTTTTAAAATTTAGTTTGAAGGGTTGGATCACTTGCTACGCTAGTTATTTAATTTACTTTCTCACAAAATAAAATGACTCAATTCAAATCAAGGGTACAAAATTATATAGTCTTATGCAGAACATAATCAACTGTAACATAGCATACAATATTTTACATAGCAATTGCCATCACTAATACAATCGCTCAACTAAAGTCCAGTAAAATTATTTAACTTTGTAAAAGCACTCTACAAGTAAACATCGTTTTACTGTTTTTATGGTTTTTGTTTTGTTGTTTAAGAGGTTGTATAGTTTTAAACCCACACGTATGGGAGATCTATTATATATGTACAATATTATATATGTTTTATTTAATCTTCTGTGGCTTATATGAAAATTTGTTGATGTGACACCCATAAACTAGTTGAAAACCATATACTTACAAAATGTATTTAGGTAGGTAACAGTTTCTTAATCTAACATTTTTCAAACAAGTATTTATTTTAGTTTATTTGTTTATAGATAAAGTCAATTCGCCTTTCTTTTACGTGCGCAAAGTGCTCAATGACAAGTTCATTAAAATTTTCAGTAGCCAATAATTTTCTTTCAATGAAACACATAGCTAAAGCGTTTAATCTATTTTCGCAAATTGTATTTCGCGTAAAAGTTTTAATGCGATTTAATGTTGAAAAAGACCGTTCACATTTAACTGTTGTCATAGGCATTGTACATATGATTTTTAATAATTTAAAAGAGTCTGAAAACGCATCACACAGATTATTATCATAAAAGCACTGTAATAATGGTAATGCACCCGACGCACTTGTAAAATCCTGCCTGCTGTAAATAACTGTAGCTATGGAGAGATGATCAGAGAACCGGAAACAATCTTGGATGTAATAATAACGTCGCATACTTCCTTAGCCACATTTTTATATATATCTTGATAACGCGCCCTTTTTGGTTGTGATACTGGTTGATCATTCAATGAACCAAGGCAATGAGCATCATTGCCTTGGTTATCAGCTTCTTCAGCAAAGTAATCATGATCAGTTGAATCCCTCACATTTTGGATAGACTTTTTAAATGAAGATATGCATTTTTGCATTTTTACGCTGTCAATATCGCAGCTCTGTAATTGACTAAAGAGAATGTCACAGTTGGGCATAACCTTATTCAAAAAATATAACCAGTAAAGAATGTCAGGATCTTTTAACGTATGTTTTAGGCCAACTGCTTTACTAACTGTGCTCTTGTCATTTGTAGGATCGTCTATTATTTACTCCAAGCACAAAATAATTTCAGTTTTGTTAACATATACGGTTGTAACACACCGACTTTTCCATCTAGTACTCACTGACCTAGGTAGACGTTTTTTGACCACTTCGTCGAGAACAGATGTACTTTTTGGAGACCTTGAAAAAAATGTGCTAAAGCCCTCAATGTTGCAAAAAAAACTCTAACTTGTTTTAAAAAAACGAGTTGCGTTACGAGTTACAAAAGCGTATTCTCGAAACAAGGGATTGATCATTTGTGATATTTTCGGGCGAAGTGAACATCGCTTGGTGGGAAGTAGACGAACGTGTGAATATTAGACAATCGCCACTTAAATATAACCTTAAAAGTAAATGCCTTATTAGAGTGTCTTATTTGTTATTTTTAAACAATGAATTTTGACGAAATTGTATTAAACAATTTTAAAAATGATCTTGAAGATGCAGAAGAACAAAATTGGTAAATAACACGATTGTAACAATAGGTTGGTAAGTGAAATTTGATCGAGATGAAATTTAAAACAATCCGTGCACTTGCCAACGAATTTGATTGGGTACGAAATGCGACAACACCGCAAAATGTTTCTCCCCTTGCGGCCTTGAGTTCACGGTTTATTCACCGTGAATTCACCGTGAATAAACCCTCTGTTTGTGACATTTGTAAACGGTAGTTAGACGGTGAATTCACGCACTTTTCACAGTATTTTAATTGTGAATCCACCGTATTTTGGCGGTATATTCACGGTAAATTCACGGTGAATTCACAGTGAACTCAAGGCCGCAAGGGTAGGTATATCCTATAGGTTTAACACAATCGACTATAGCTAGCCATTATTCGTTACTGAGCAGATGAGGATGGAGATGGGGACTTCAAACAATTAATGTTTAGCTATGCTATTACAGACGCACACTTCCAACTAAATGTTGCAACCCAACGCTATTTATAGTTAGCTCGCTTGCGTAAGCAGCCGTAAGATGTATTGATTAAACCGCTTAACACAGAAATCGACTAATAAAAAAACCGCTAATAAATGGCGTCCAACTTGTTGTTTTTTTCTTCATGATGGCGTCTCAACCTCGTTGATTTTGCGCAGCTACACGAGAGCCCTCTTGCGATATTTGTATTGTATTGGGAATAACCACAGACCTAGGTCTGTGGGAATAACCAATTAGCAGATTGTTCGAATCCTACACTTCCAATTTGCGGTGTTTTCACAGTCAATTTACGGTGTTTTCACAGTAAACTCACAGCGCTTTTACGGTGAATTCACGGTGATTTCACGATAAATTTACGGTACTTTCACAGTGAATTTGCGGTGATTTTGCAAACTTGAGTTCACCGTGAATTTACCGTGAAATCACCGTGAATTTACCGTGAAATCACCGTGAATTTATCGCAAAAACAGCGTGAGTTCACCATTTAATTACCGTCTACAAATGTCACAAATGGATGGTGTATTCACGGTGAATTCACCGTAAACTCAAGGCCGCAAGGTTCACCTGAAATCTCCCATCACATACTTTCGAGAATACGACTTTTCGGTATCATTCGATGAAGGTTGGATGTGAAATATCCCATCACCGAAGTGATCTTTCGCCTCGCTTATTTTGGAGTATAGCGCCCCAGGGGTATGGCTGTTTATTTGTGTTTGTCCTATTGTGTAATAGTCCTTCGGAGGGGACTTTAAGCCCGCGGTCCGTTCCTACCCCTAACCCGCACAAGCCATTCAGTTGGCTTCTGGGACTTCTTAGGAAGTAAGGGTGGAACTAAAAGAGCACTAAAAGTAGTTACTTACTTTGTGCCGTTTTACTTTTTCTAGGATTGTTTATACGAAGGCAAATAAAGCAAAAAAAGCATTTCTTTTTTCAGCATCGTATAATTTTCTATTAAATGTTTTATTTCTAATCGCAATTTATTAGTTAACTTATTTAAATTAACACAAGTGATTATATAATCTATGGTATTTATCTCCATTTTAAAAATTACACGGTATTTATCTCCATTTTAAAAATAACACGCACCACGACATGACTACCGGCGAGATTTTTGACTAACTGACCTTCCTCAAAACAATTAAACTGAATACATCGACAACGCGCTGACGGGCATCTTACTATTATTATACGATTATGATGGCTGACGTCCGCACGCCGCACACCCCCTCCTTCATCGATACGTCGCACAGTGGTCGGAAATAGCTGTTTTGTCCAAAAACCTCTTAATGGTTTAAACTGACAATTTTTTTAACTATATGTAAAGGGGAGTGCTTAATCCAATGGAAAAGTTGTCAATTTGATATTATTAATATTTTATTCAATTTTAAACAGTTTTTACTACATAACAAGGAGTTTATTGTAAATAATTAATATTTTTAAAGAATTTTGAGTGATTTCTAGTAAATAATACATTGAGTCACCATTTTGACGGTGCAAAAATTATTTAGAAAAATAACAATTCGAGTGAATTAAACTTATGGTATTTTAAATCACGCATTTTATGTATTGACTAAAAATAAATTAAAAATAAACTAAATGGGTTTTTAACTTATTTATTGTATCTAGAGTCACATAATATAAAGGAGTTATAACAGTAATTCTAAAGCTTCATCACTAAATGGGATTTTTTTTCTTAAATTGCGGTCTTAGGTTTGTAATAAATGGGTCCGAACTAACCAAAATGCCGTGAAAAACGTCTTCATTTGTAGCTAAGCGAGAACATTTTCGAGCGTGATGCGTCCTGAAGAATTTTTTAATCTTTGTTCCTGCATTATTGAGCTTCCTCTGATAGTAAACCTATAGGAAGAGCTGCGCATTCAATAATATCTGCTCCATGGAAAAGAATTTTGTGGACTGATGCAGGAAGGTAATACCACGGGTATAGTGTAACGATCAGAGTAGCAGTCTCAGAGCAATACTTCTTAAACTTGATGGTATCTATTGGTGAGAAGCTGCAAATTACCTCTAGAATAACTCCCAGTTTACTTATTACACATTCGTCAATTTGTGTAATCTCAGCCACTAGCGAAGGATTTGAAAAGAATCTTCTAGAGGTATTCCCATCATTTGTCGTTCCTGAGCCGTGTTTCACTACATCAACGCGCAGACTCATTTTCTTCCAAAACTCGCCTTGAATAAGTTTTTTCTTTTTCTCTTTCAAAGGACGTGTTTCCGGTGTTGTTCTCCAAGCCTTGAAATCTAGATTGTAGCTGAGATGCAAAATAAATTCATTTTTTTGCGATGACGAAGCAGCTGCAGTAATGAGTTCTTGGGAGCAAGTTCTACGCAAACTTTGTACTTTGTAGTGTTGTGCACTTCTTCCACACTCCAGGCCTGCCTCCACTATCAACTTTACAACTGGAGTTCTCAGATACCACAATAAATTCACCCTTCAACCAGTCTTTATATCGTTTTAAAAAGTTAGGCTTACTGTACTTTACCACTTTTTTTTTGTTATTGAAATTTGGTAAAAATCTCTTCTTTATTTGTTTAACTGCATCACATAATTTGTCCTTCCCTATATGTGGATAGCTTTCTCTTAATCCCTGATCTAAAGAGCAACCACTTCTAAACAGTATTTCACACAACTTGCCGTAAGGAATCACTAATTCTGCCATATTTCACTACGTAAAATAAAACTATATATATTTTTTTCAAATTGGCTATTTAAGGGTGTTTGTTCTACCTACGTTATAACTACATGATTATATAAAGGATTAAAGATTGCAATCAGGTAATAAATTTGGCACTATTTTTATTTGTTATTTGTAAGGTATTTTAATTAGAGATTAAAGGTACTTATTTTAATGTTATTCTTTAGATACATAGTAAATTTTGCAATTATAATATTTGGCCTGGGTTTTAGTGGACATATGTTATTTACGAAAATAATCGCTTTTGATGCATTTTTAGTTTGCACATTCAACATTGTGTACAACACGCCCAAAGGGCAATATACTGTAAATCCTGGTGTTCAACAGTTTCTAAAATTCACCACCAACATATACGGCTGAAAACGGCTATGAAATTTCTGGTGTCAACCCTACAATACCTATATTTTGTGGTGGTAACATTCCCGAAGAAAAGCTCTGTAAAGCTTTTTTGTGTCGGTCCAATATTTGCAAAGAAACGTTATTTATTAGACTCTAATTAGAAAAGCTATGCAAAAAACACCCTAGGTTTATTTAAAAAATATATATATATATATCCTTTTAAAGACTTTTATATATACTTTAAACAATCACAACACTGGCCGATTTTTTAAATCGTTTTTTAAACAAAAAAAAAGCACCAAACGTTCCGTTGCAAACAGCGACATTTCTCATTAATTTATGAGAAATTCAAGTTTAGATAAATATTACGTTTAACCAATTTTATTTAAAATTAAAAGGGGTTCAGATTATGTGTGTATAGATATTTGGGAATGTAAAATAACCCATTTTGAATCATTCGGATAAAATATATTTAGGGGGTTTTTGGACACAAAGAACCAGTGTGCGTCGGACTAACAGTGCAGATTTAAATCCGCCCGGCTTGTAACTATCCATCCTAAAAAAGTTTATCCGTATTAACCGTCCTAAAGTTAATATTGAGAATTACATTTAAAAAGTTTGTTGGGGTGTAACATTTCAAATAAATTAATTAAATATAATGTTTTTGAGTAACATTGGGGGGACTCGGGAGGGCACTGCCCCGTTGCCCTCCCTGTAACCGCCGCCACTGAGCTCTAGGATTAGGAGACGCGGTTAGGTTAGGATCTTCACGTATTGGAAAATAGATTTGCATGGTTGATCATATGGAACCCCGGCTATGCAGTGTAGAACGCGCTTTTGTACCCGAAAGACGCTCTTAAAACCCGAGGAAAGACCCGATGTTAATATAGCATACGCGAGAGCATACGCTAATCTGGACTGAACGATTGCATGATAAAACATTACTATTTGTGTTTTATTCAAAACGCGTTTAAGGGTCGTACTTGAAAACATGTTGTATTAATTTAATTGTTAGTTTTCGCATTGTGCACTACATGTTTTTGTTTATAGTTATATCCAAAAAGGGTACCAGTTCTGTTATCCCCATAGTTTTCGCATTGTGTACTCCATGCTAGGGTTTTGTTTATAGTTATATCCAAAAAGGGTACCAGTTCTGTTATCCCCATTTATTTCTAGGGTTTCTACGGTAATATCATTTATTTGTTTATTATAGGTGTGAAATCTTTAAGGCATTTGGTGTAGTGAGTGCGTTAATCCATTGTGTTAGTTTTTTGCAGATTTATTATCAGTTGGCCGTTCCATTCTTCCTCCAACCTTAGAGAGAAGGATGGAAGCGTTATCCGCATATATTATAATTTTTTGTTTTATGAATGGTAGGAAATCGTTTATAAATAGAGTTAACAGGACTGGCCCCAGGATTGATTCTTGTCTATGTCTATGGGATCAGAGTGATAGCTTTTTGTATAGTTGTTTGATTTTTGTCTTGTAGGTATCACTCAAATAGGGTTTGAATTTTGATACAATGCCCTGCTGAGTTCACAATATTCCATCACGGCATTGCGTGAAGTTCATCTAGTATATTGTTTAGGAAGCATAGGGTGGCTGTGGATGTGGATCGTCCCTGACGGAAGTTAATTTATTTTCAAAATATAAAAAATAAACAGGGTCTTATTAAAAAAATCTGTAAATATTTTTAACCATTTTAATCAGTAAAAATTTGCTAATTTAACTGATAATAATAACGGAGTTGGCAATGGCTAACTGGTTAACTTTGGACACAGTGTATAATTATTTTATTATATTTTATTAAGTTTTCCATATTTAGTTTAATTTTAAGGTAATTGTTTAAACGTTTGTATGAAAAACGACTAATGATTTTACACGTTATAACTTATAATTAAACTAAATCAATAATTTACTGTTACAAGTGACATTTGTACTTTAAATTACAACCTTTTGTCTTAAACGCTACGAAGTACACCATAGCCAATGCAAAGCACAAATGATACCTGTTGTGTCGTCGCCGCTGTAAAATAGCCCCATTTTTTCAATGCGTTTAAAGGCTTTCGGTAATTTAAAACTAATAATTTAGATTATTTACCCTTCCTGATCCAGGAATCCATGTTTGAAAATTCAAAAAATACACTGCTGCGAGTTAGACGTGGAATATATATGAGGCATTCCATGTCAACTCGGCCACCCCCTCCTGTGCAAAATTGACTAAAGTTTTCCGAAACGTGCAAGTGATGAATTTTTAGCTTATCGTCTTAACTTTTAAATGCCGAGTGGTATTTTGTAAAATTTCAAAATGGCGGTGTCAATATAGCGACTGCAAGCAATAGACATCACTTTAAAAAATCCGTAATACGTAGTTTACATTAACTAACAACTTTATAAAATTAAAAATTGAATTTTATTTAATGCACTGATCTATTATCAGTGATTCTATGTATTTTTTACCGCTGATTACACAATGGTTCGCCCCTAACCTCAAAAAAACTTAAAAAAGCATTTTCTCGTAATTTACTCCCGCTTAATGCATTTTTGATAGATGGTTTAGCATTTGTTTTTTGTATTTCTCATTGCCTAATATAAATATGGCCTTACCTCAGAGTCGACATAAAACTGTACGTTCCTAACCTAAAAGAACTCTCAAAAAATATATTTTTACCTTCTTTACAGCTGTTTAAAGCATTTTAAAGATTGGCATAAGGTTACATTTTTATACTTTTTATCGCCAAGTACGTAAATAATCCAACTATTTACTGCACACAAAGCAGTTTACCCCTAACCTTAAAAATATTCTCTACAAATTAGTTTTCTGCAGAATACAGACGCTAAAGAAAATTGTAATATGGGATTTATAGATTTATTTCCACACTTTTATCGCTAAAAATGTTTATGATCTTTGATGGCAGTTCTTTGTTAACTTAAAAACACTCTGCATCCTACCTATGCAATAAAAATGAGGTTTAAATGATATGTTAAAAATATTTATTTATTTACATAACAATATGCTGAATTTGTAATTATCTATATAAGATTCTAACGATAATTAAATTCGGAGCTATTTGGAGCATTCGAATAAAAATGTACTCTTAAAAATGTACTCTTAAAAAAGTATTAATACTTTTTTAAGAGTACATTTTTATTTGGTAATACCACAAAAGAATATTATTTTATTTAATTATCGGTAGATGTAGATTATTATTATCGGTAGATGTAGATTATTACAATTTTAGCATATTCTTATGTAATAACTACTACTTTTATAAAAAATATTTTTAACATCCCATAGAGCACAAAGTCGTCATATAGTGTCCATAGGACATCAATCTCTGTACAAATGGATATCCATAGTATGTCCAAGAATATTATATGGACTTTCCATGTACGTACATATAACGTAACTTTGGCACACTATAGGATGTCCATGTTATGTAATAAATGTACATACAATGTACGTTGGAAGTGGACTTCCATATGATGTCAAAATGAGCCTAGGAACGAAAATTGTGAAAAATTTTGGTTTACTTGTTTATTCTAATCAAATTACAAACATAGGATTTAGGATAAAAAAGGTTTAGACAGTGGCAGCTGGTGGATTTTGGGTATACCAATATCTCAGTTATTATTATAGACATGAGGCCCATATAAAACATATATGAGTTTATAATGACATTGAATAGACAATTTGTGCGCAAGCATAATTTAAATTAAATTTGCGAAAAAAAGTTAGTTTTTCAGCGCGCCTCACCAGCCCACTACACCCAATTAAGATTATTCAAGTGGTGCAATTCATAATTCTGTAAGTCTTGGATTTTTAAAAAAAAAATTTAATTTTGTCGATAAACTTTAGTAAATTATGAATTGCACCACTTTATTTTGAATAATCTTAATTTTGGGGGTAGGGGGCTGGTAAAGCGGGCTGAAAACTAACTTTTTTTCGCAAATTTCAATTTAAATTCTGCTTGCGCACAAATTTTCTATTCATATGTCATTATAAATTCATTTAAGTTTGATATAGGCCCCATAACTGATATATTGATATTATAGTGAATTAATTAAATTTTATTTTATATTTAACACTAAACAAATAATTACATTGCCTTTAATAATAATATATATTATTATATGTCACTGACTACCATGATGCGATTTGAATCATGACTGACTTTTTTTAATTAGGTATTTTTTATTGCTGACCGAAGTTTTTTTATATAAACCAAACCTATTAATAAAGTTTAATTCGTAACTTGGTATTTCTGAGGTGTTTATATAAATAAAATTATAGTTACTATATAGTAAATTAATTTAACCAAACTGTCATGGTTTGCAAACAAAACAATTTTAAGAATTAACAACAAATAAAACTAACTAACTAACTATTTTTGAAGTGAAAATAAACTGTAAAAATTGTTTTGTTTGCTATTTTTGTAAAATGTAACTATTTAATATGGTAGGCGTTATCGACCGCAGGAGTCCTAAATTAGACTTTGAACATCCATCTTATTGTTTCTTGTCTTGTGTCCATCCATGGATATCCTATGGACGTTCTTCTGGACAATCCTAAGAACATGGGAAAGCGTAAACTCCATGGACGTAATTCAAAGTCCATGGACGTATGTACTTAGTTTGGACCTTTAATGGACGTACAATGGACGTAGTGTGCTGTGTGGGATACGATTTATGCAAAGTTTTATAGGTTAACGAAGAATTGCCGTCAAAGAAAGATTATAATCGCATTTAGCGATAAAAAGTGTGGAAATAAATCTATACATCCCAAATTTCAATTTTCTTCAGCATGTGTATCTGCAGAAAATTATTTTTTAGAAAATATTTTTAAGGTTAGGGGTAAACTGCTTAGTCTGCAATTTATAGTTGGCAATCTTTAAAATGCTTTAAACAGCTATAAAGAAGGTAAAAATACATTTTTTGAGAGTTATTTTAGGTTAGGAACTTACAGTTTTATGTCGACTCTGAGGTAAGGCCATATTTATATTGGGCAATGAGAAATACAAAAAACAAATGCAAAAATATGTATCAAAATGCATTTAGGGGCTGTAAATTTCACAAAACTGCTTTTTAAGTTATTTTTTGGGGTTAGGGGCGAACCATTGTATAATCAGCGGTAAAAAAAACATAGAATCACTGATAATAGATTAGTGCATATAATCAAATTCAATTTTTAATTTTATAACCCTGTTAGTTAATGTAAACTACCTAATACGGTTTTTTTAAAGTGATGTATATTGCTTGCAGTCACTATATTGACACCGCCATTTTGAAATTTTACAAAATACCACTCGGCATTTGAAAGTTAAGATGATAAGCTAAAAATTTATCAGTTGCACGTTTCGAAAAACTTTAGTCAATTTTGCACAGGAGGGGGTGGCCGAGTTGACATGGAATGCCTCATATATATATATATATATATATATATATACATATATATATATTTATATTAGGGTGTTCCTTATTTAGGGGTAGGAAAAAATTTAACAGAGGCGCCCCAAAAATCGGTTCTAATTCACAAAAAAAATTCATCAAAAACTTTAGATTAATCGGTCAAAGGGAACACGTGCCCCACAGGGGTTATTTGAGAAATAATTGAGAAAATTCGATAATTCGAAATAACTTTGAAACGGCCTATCGTAGAAAAAAAAATTGTTTATAAATTTTGTGGGTTTATTTATAATAAACAACTGTCTTAATAACAGTTCTAGGTTAAAAAAAAATGGGCTCAAAAAGCGATCAAATGTTTTTTTGGGCACTTTAGCGCCACCTACTTTTTGAATTTTCTGTCCAAGAGCATCGACTGAATGACATAAATTGTAGGGAACAATGCGCCCTTAATTCTTTAAACCAACCGATTTTGAAAAAAAAATCAATCCAAAACTGAAAAAGATTCAGGGAGGTGAAATGAGATGCCTGTAAAAACCGTAACTCCTAAAATTAATATTTAGAGGTCGCGCATCGTGATTTTTCTGTTTCCATCATGGGAAAAATTATTTTTAAATTTCA